AAAATGTGAATGATAGTGTAATTAATTCCTAACAATTTAGTGTAGAATATTCTCCTTGATAAATAAAATCTGTGATCAACATTATTCATGCTTGTTCCCCGTCATTTCAAAATTGAATGTTGAGCTTTGCCTACGTGCGCAGCTTTTCAAACGCAGCGCAGGAAGCAACCGCCATAAATGGGAGACAGACGAACGCTCGGACAGTCGCCATGGTTCGCAGTATATATAAGATATGAGGACTGGAGATCGGGGGGTCCAGAAAATCGATTCAGAATAACCATGTACAGTGTTACTGTAGGTAATGTGACTGTGTAACTATACACAATATTTCAAAGACTGAATTCAGTTGCACGTAAGTTCGCTTTTCTTAAACCAGTCAACTTAAGCAGTGCTAGTCACAAAGAATTAGTGAAGGCTAAGTACTGGAGTACCAATATTCAACTTATCACCAGCTTTCCTCGTGCAGCTAGTTTCTTTCGAACCAGCTTTACAGCAGAACACTTTCGAATAACGTAGCTGAAGGACCTTGTTTGTTTATTTATTATTAGTGGACTACAGCGCCACATGTTAAAATTGTAGGCATGAGTGCACTGCTTAGTTGCTATTTCCAATGCCGCAAGCTACATTAGCAAGATATTTATTTTACATTGAAAATGAGCACGTGAAATTCAATAATCGAGCTAAGAAACGTTGCTGCATCTTGAAGCTACATGTGCTAAGAAGATGAATATGTTGTTGTTATTCTGCTAGTGTTTAGATAACCTGAAATAATAAATAAATAAACACATAAACTAGAGGGGCACTCAGTAGAGAGTATACCACCGCCCCGCAGGTTGATCATATTCAGATCTCAAAATATACGAAAATATATCCGTATGTCCATCGTTATCAACGGACACAAACCATTTTTGGCAGGACAATGCTGAATAATATTCCACATAAGTCCGCCAAGATTAATCAAATTCCAATCATTTTTGACTGAGTTTTAGAGGAAAAATAGTGTGAAAAATCGGTCCCCATGTCAACATATATGGATTTATTTTTTTGGCTTTTCGTAACATCGCTGTGATTTTGACATAAAGTCACCGTGATCCCCAAAATTAATAATTTGTCAATTGGGCAATAGTACAAGTGTATACCAACTTTTGTCCAAATCAATTCAGCCGTTTTTGAGAAATCTTGCTGACAAGCATACACACAGAGAGGTGAAAAACATAACCTCCGTCCATCTTCGGTGGCGGAGGTAACATATATCTATTTGTGCGAACTTTTCACACAACAAATTCAAAATAAAAATCACAAACTTCTCTGACTACTCATTCCCTACTCAAATGAATACTTCATTGACTGACTGGCACTCTCATATTAACTAGCTGCTTACTCGTATTTATAATTTATGTACACATCCAGAATTAAAAAAAAAACTTAACCTCAAGCACCCTCTAGCGAACTTCTAAATTAAAACATTGAAAATATAGTTTACAACAATATATTTAGATCTATAGACATACACATACGCACGCAGTCGCATTTTCATGCAAAAATAGAAATCTACTAGTAGTAATAATTTTAAGTTGGCTGAGTAGCCTCAGCTCAGCACATTAAACGACGATAACAAGAAGTTGTAAATAAACTGTAACATGAGACTGTGCATGTACCATTGTTAAGAGAGGGCGTTATTTTTGATGTTTACTTCAGTAGTTTTAGTACATAAGTCACAACTTTCCGTTCTCTTGCTGTTCTCTTTTCAAATCTTATACAGAAATATAAAGTTGAACTGCACTACATATAACCAAGCATTAATTAAAATACAAAATAAAAATACAAACAAATCATTGTTTTAGAATTAAGTATATCCGACAGAGTACTTGAACTAGATTACAACAAAGAGTACCGTATTTTTCGGAATATAAGACGCACCCTTATTTTGAAGAATAATTTTGGGGAAAAAAAGCTACAGTCGCATTGAAAGATTTTTATCAAACAAAAATTCAATTTGATACTTTAAAAATTAGTATATATTGTTCTAAACACAAAAGAGCTCAAAACATCAAAATATGAAAATACCGTAAATAAAAAAAAAGGTTTACTGTTATTTAGTTTCGTTCAAAACCTACAAAATCTTCATTGCTTTCACTGTAATTTATTTTGTTATTATTTAGGGAGCATTATAAGTAGTTATGTTTTTTTTAAAAAAAACTACTATTGTTATAAGTAAGACATTCAATTGAATTAAACTATGCATGCCTATTTAAATAAATTTACACATGGCTTGTGTATATCGTATATATACACATATATTATTCATACCTTCAGTGTATAGGATGCAAGCAGATTTTGACATCAAATTTTGGGGTAAAAAAGTGCGTCTTATACACCGAAAAATACGGTATATTTTATTTTCACCGTGAAAGGATATACGCCATATAAGTAGATTTTTGTGGTACAATTCTTATTACACACACTTTCACATGTTTGACAGTATACACATTTTAACACTTTTTTTTTTTACTAAAAACTCTCAAGTTCGTTACAAATGAAGAATTATGTTTGTTAAAATATATCGTATATATATATAATTAAACCGGTGCTTAAGTGGTTGTCTAGATGGATATGATAAATTCAAAACAAAACAGTCTAGGTGTTAAAACTGTGTGATTCTATTTAACCTCCATGAAAATAGTATGTACTACCCAACAGTTCCTCAGTGGGACAGCGCTAAGTCTACAGACTTTAGAACGCTAAAATAAGGGGTTCGATTCCCCGCAGTGGTCACTGTGGGTTTGCTTCAAATCAATCAACCAACCAATTACCCAACAGGAAGTAAGTGGCGTTTTGTTTTGCATTTCATGTTTGAGCTCTCGCAAGAACATTTTTTTAATTTTAAGACATCAATACATACACAGAGGTTTGTTATAAATAATAGTTAACGACAAACTAGAGTAATGTAAAATTAATTTTCTAACAATTCGGTATTTTTTGCACATTTGAAATTAACTTTGAGGTTGTAAGAGAAACATTCAGTACACTGTATTTTCATATGTTTTCTAATTGCTTCACCCATGTTTACGAATCCTTACTTTGGTATCGCTGTGTATTTTTACTGGTCCCAAGGTTATAATCCTACAGAAAGGAAACTTGTTTGTTGTTAAGAGAAAAGCTACACAATTGGCCAGATGTTCTGTTTCCATCACGGTGAATTGAACCCCGGATGTTAACGTTATAAGCCCTCAAACTTATGTCTGAGCCACCTAGGGATCATAAAGGGACCAACAAATGTCAAAAGTGAATTATCCTGTTTCTTTAATATGCAATATATTCTACAAATAAGACTGTTTATGACACTTTTTTTTTGCTTCCTTTTCCTAGCTATCCCTCCCCCTGGTGGCTGGAATGTGTAATATAAGTATAGCTCGTTAAAAGTCAGTGGGGGGGGGGGCACCTGTCTCCATACGACCTGTTGCTTTCGAATGAGCGTCTGGGTACCACTTTCCTTCAAGTAGTATGCAGGTGTAGATTAGAAACAAGTCCCCCACCCCGGAACCTTACGAATACGTGACGTCAATCGTGATGTTTGCTGGGAAAGTTTATTGGAATTGTAACTTAACCACGCATTTGTGGGGTGAAAACATTCAGAGTGGTTTACACTAGTATAGAAGAAACTAGTATTCTACGAAGTTTTTATTTCACTTCACTGACGGCGAAGAAAGTTGGTGTGCGAAAGTTTGTGGGTCAATATTTATTAAGTAGGGCTTTATTTTCAAATTCAACGACGGAAGGTAAGACTTTATTTTCATCTCATCATAATCACAAACGTCGGTTCCTGCTTGCGATATTATTACTTAGTGTATGTTCGAACCAGATATATACAGAGTTTATAGATATTCGAGCGGAATTTTAGGTTCTATTAGTCTTACATTTATCGATTCTTGAATAAAATAGTTTTCATAAATTGTCTTTATATTATGTAATATTCCCGTGTAACAGAAGAAGCGTGTATATAGAATGGCCTAGTTTTTAACACTTTGTATATATATCGACATTGTGATTTTCAGGCACAAGAAAAAAAGTGTTATGTAGTCAAGTGTTGCTCAGCAGGCATGTTTACATGCCGCGGCTTAAATTGTGGCTTGCTTTAATTGTTTTATGCCAAATGTCTGAAGACATTATTAGGAGTGGCAACAATTCTATGCAAACAAGATACATTTCAAATAGTGAAAGAGAAAAAAAACTAACTCACTGATGATTATATTTATATTCTACTTTAGAGCAATCCTTCAAATAAGTAAATATTCCAAGTTTCTCTTCGTTGTTTTCATTTTAGGAAACTTAAGGCGTTTGTTGGTTGATTGGTACTCAGCACCAAGTTAGTTACACAATGGGCTATTTGCGCTCTGCCAACCACGGGTATCGAAACCCGATTTTTAGCGTTGCAGACTTGCTGCTGAGCCACTGAGGGAGCAGAGAATTGAAGCCAACTATATTTGTCCACTTTATTATTAGGTCTAAGCTGACAATATTTATAGATCAGAAAACTTTTTTAGTTGAAAAATACTTGCAGTTTCCAAAAATTGAGGTATTTCTTGTATGTTTGATTTAATTGGTCAATTTTTATCGATAATCTGAAGAACTCGCCTTCTTACTAGCCTATCGATAAATGGTCATAGCCCTTACCTCATATACTTGAAAGTTACTTCTTTTTTCTGGCCGTCAGTTCTTAATTAAGGTAAGTGTTCCTCGTCACCAATATATAACCGCTATTTCTAGGTGACCTAAAATTAAAGTAGAAGCCTAGGGCACCGCAAGAGGGCGTGTACCAAAGCTGTAAAGAATTTGCAGTTGTTATAATTATGTATGGTTTTTACAGTAGGACGTTTTGAGTTAGTGTGTACTGATGTCGTGATTACAGTGCACTTAGTTTCACCAAAGCCTAGTGTAAACTATTAACTTGCACTGTGTACTGTTTGTTTGTTTGTTATGGATTTTGCACAAAGCTACACGAGGGCTACCTGCGCTAGCCGTCCCTAATTTACCAGTGTAAGACTAGAGGGAAGGCAGCTAGTCATCACCACTTACCACCAACTCTTTTACCAACGAATAGTGCGATTGACTGTCACATTATAACGCCCCCACGGCTGAAAGGGCAAGCATGTTTGGTGTGATGGAGATTCGAACCCGCGACCCGTAGATTGCGAGTCGAGCGCCCTAACCACCTGGCCATGCCGAGCCCTAATGTACTGTAAGCATAATTTATGTTGGCAGTAATGGAGGAACTTCTTTTTGCCGCGGGTTCAACTTGGAAAGAAACTGAAATTGTCAGATATCACTTACAGATGAAGGGTATTGTTATTGAACAAATAGCGACAGTATACAATATATACGTTTTAAATACGTTGATTTAAAATAGAACTGTTAGTTTGTAGTATTAATTAAACTTTTGTTTTCTCTTGCATCTAAAGTTGGTGGTAGAAACAAAGTAAGCTACACAATGAGCTATCTGCGCTCTTTCCATCGAGCAGAATCGAACACCGGATTCTAGTGTTGTAAATCCGTCAATTTATCGCTGTCCCACAGGGGACACGATTTCAAGAAACAGGAAACACTCCGGGAACATTGATAAACTAATCCCAAAACGTATAGGTACAATTTACAAGTTACGTAGCCAAACAATCTTCAGTTAATTTTGTGTTGTGTCGTAAAAAACAATTTTTAATAGGCTACCGAAATATTAGAAACTCGCCTATAAATGTTAGATAATGAAATTGTAGATAATAAAATAAATAATAATTTTATATGAATTGCATATATCAAAAGGTTACAGACGTCATCATTCTCTTTTTCTCTGCTAAACCATTTACTTTAGGGGGAAAAAATTATTCACGAATTCTGCACTAATGAAATGGATGTATATACTGCAAGAAAATATAGATTATAAAACCGACTGCAGAAGGAGCTTCGATCAAATTTTACATCGGTCATATTAAATCTCCTGTATTTTCAAATCGCGTATTTCAGTAGCTTTGAGTAATTTCAATCGAAACTGTTTTATCAGTTGTATATTTACAAACGACTTTAATCCAGGTCAATCACATTATCAGTGAAAGCACAAGAATGATGTAGCCTTCACAAACCAGCAAATGATTCAGCTTGTCAAAAACAGAACACAATACTAAACATTATTAAGAAAAGTTAATGACAGTATGAAAATAGTCATTTAGGAGACTTGTAAGTTAGGCAAACCATACGTCCCGGAAATATTCCATACATCTCATTTCTTATATTTATTGTGAAGTCTGCAGTACAAATACATTAGAAATTAACATTCAGCCAGTTATTAGTATTTATTACTACATTAGGTAAAGCAACGCCATGTGACGCCACTGGTGCAGTCGCCAGAATTACGACCTTGAATATGTTATAGAAAGTTTTCTTTTTTTTTTTTACGATCAAAACCTGAAACAGATACACTCACCAGATAAATACAACTGTCATTAATACAAAAAGCTTCTCCAGTACTGCCTGAATCCGGAATTTTGGTGAATACAAGTACAAATTCGTATACAAGTATGATCGATTTTGATTCACAAAATATGGTCACCTTACTGTAAATAAACTACTGTATTTTTGTTTCAAAAGACCAATAATGAAGACGACACTGGAAATTCAATCTCAAATAACAGTGTTACGTATCTGCTTGTTTGTTCGTTTCTGGTAGAAATTCCTTTTGGAGGATCTTCAGCTATACAAGTCCTTTCTTGATTAAACCAGTTTATTCTTCCTCAATACAAACTTTTAGTACAG